TGTTTCTCTTTTGCGCACAGAAAAGCATTCGAGGTTGCTCGTCACAAAAAAAACCGGGCAAGTATCCTAAGCCATGGCGCCCATCATCGATCCTCAAGAAAGCCTGTAAGTTGTCGACGAGATCTAATCTCACCTACCCCCAGACTCTGATCATATCGTACGATGGAACCAGGCACACGCTATGGGTCCCTGGCAATACCTGTACCAGAGAACACTACACTGGGGAGTCGTGTGACTGACAGGACCACAGAGCGGCTTTCCGCCAACGCCTCGATGGAGTCGCTATATTCACATACATCCTCATCATGTTTCTCGTGCCTCTGAAGATCTGGTGCCGCTACCGTCACCGGGGATGGCGCAACGTGCAATGGGACGACTACATGTCGATAGTTGCTTTGGCCCTCGCGAACGGCTTCTTTTACATATGCATAATCGGTAAGTCTTCGTCTCCTACCTTTCTTCTCGGTTGAGAGTGAGCAAGAACTGATCGGGTTGTCTTGTAGGTATGCGAGACTCGCTAGGTCTACACATCTACGAAATTGAAAATCCACTCCAAATCATCGCTTTCCTGAGGAACATCTATGTGGGGAACATACTGTACACTCTGTGTATCACGTCAGTAAAGCTCTCCGTGCTAGCTTTCTACTGGCGTCTGTTCGAAATTAAGGCTCGTATCACAATCTACGTTGTCACTGCCGCAGCAATCGCCTGGTGTACTGCCATCGTAAGTCATACAATTCCTCGTAGCAGATGTCATTTTTCAATGTCACATAATGGAATTTGAGAACTAACCACAATTTCATCTTTGTAGTTGCTCTGTGTTATCTTCAACTGCATTCCCGTCCAAGCCGCCTGGGATATCACCATAACAGGCGCAAAATGCATTTCCATCCGAGCCATCTACCTTGGCGGCTCTGTCCCCAACGTCTGCCTCGATTTGGTCATCGTCCTTATGCCCCTGCCACACGTGTGGCGACTCCACGCGCCCCTTGCGCAGCGCATTGTGCTCGCAGGCATGTTCGCCCTCGGCACCTTCATCGCCGTCGTATCGCTCGTGCGCCTCATCATCTTTCTACAAATTCCCATCGCCACGCAGGGTGATGTCACGTACAACTTCCGCGAGATCATCGTATGGTCGATTGTTGAAGTCAACATTGGCCTGGCGTGTGCTTGTCTGCCAAGTCTGAAGCCCGTGTTCCAGGCAGTAGGATTGAACAAACTCTTCTCCTTCTCGTCATCAAGACCTTCCGATGTCGAATCACAAGGAGCGCAACATCAGTACGCATCAGGTGGCTCGTCTGGCTCTCGGCCACGCAAGAAGGGCGCAACAGGTGGTTTGTTCTCCACCCTAGCCGGAATCAGCAGAATGGACGATGAAGAGGAGACTAAATTTGTCAACGAAGATTTGGGCAAAAACAATGTTGACATTGAGCTAGCGCGTGTGAGCGAAGACAGCGAGCAAAGAAATGCCGCGGGTGGCATCAATGTGCAAAAGAATTGGAGTGTATTAGTCGATGATAGGAAACCTGCGCGGTAATATTCTTTTTCTTTGGCTCAAAAAAAAGGGCATACTAGACGGTCGATACATGCATGCAAGGCATGTATCGACTGCTTAACGTTTCGGATAAAATAACAATCTTATGACAGGAAGCTGAGCTTCCTCTATACATATACGAATATCGTTCTAGAAGCAACTGCAACGTTTCTTGATCTGTGTCCTAGTCTACCTAAAGACTATGCCTAGGTTCAGTTGTGTCAGAATCTCACTGTAATAATGGGAAGGGAATACTTGCATGTAATAATAAAGAAATTGGACATTTACGCATAAAATGATGATGGAGCCCCATCTAGTACTAAATATGGTGGCAATACGCATCTTCAATAGATGATTCTTGGATTAATGACAACGACAAACCCACTTAGACAGAGTGATTCAGGAAGGGCGGACTGGACTTCGCCTTTGGTATGAGAAAAGCTACAAACATCAAACATGTACAGTATGAATTTGAACGCTACCGTGCCCTACTTTGCAGCTCAATAACAAGCGGGATCACGTGTAACTAGCCTCAACTAGATACGTCTATGTCACGCTAGGGAAAGTTGTGTAGGTGAAGTAGGGTCGCAAAACTATATGGCACCTTCACTGTGGATATGAGAAGATCGCCGCGCCTCACAAGCTGTACAGTAAGAACGAGGAGATGGCTCGAAAGCTTTCACAATGCCTTAACGACGGTGGCAAACTGTTATTAGCTGTTTGTTGCAAAGGCAAACAGCGAATCAGGGTCCACCACTTGTGGTAAGGGTATATTTAGCCTAGGCAGCCACAAACACAGGGCGCTTGCTCAACTTCAGCCTTGCCCAACTTTACACACTACACACCATCCCCACAGACTAACACAAGACAACCGCTTGATGCAACCTGCGGGTATCCTGCATCTTCAGTACTCGATGCGGCCGTCACGAAATCGAACAAATGTCAACACGTACAACTTAAAGATACTGTCGGGTATCGTTAGTCGCACTCGCAAGCCCCAGGGCAGCAGCGGCAACTCTGAGGTCAAGGATGAAGCCCCTTCCACGCCACAAGATGGCACGCATGAAGGGAGTCAAGCAGCAGAAGCAGGCTCTCTCGATCAAACGAGCGGTTTTCAGACTAACGAGCTGCCTTGGCCAGCCATATCACCTAGCCTGCTCGAACTAGGAAGATCTCAAAGCAGTGGAGAAGCCAAGACAGTTCAGCAGAGTCCGCCAACCAGCTCGCAAACTTCCAGGCGTTATCTCAAATGCTTCAATCCTCATGCTGACCCAAATGGTCATTTCTACTCCGTCCATCAACTCTTCACTCAAGGCGTTTGGATTGGCTATCTGGCGCCAGACCGACATAAGGAGTCGTTTCGGGGACTTCCTTCATTCAATATGTTGAGATCCAACTGTGCCAAGCTCATTGCGCCATATCCCAAAGCAACACAGGGCTTGGTAGGACAGAATCGATATGCTGTTTGTCGGGGATGCGTTTCGGGTACTTCAAAGGTGTTCGAGTTGAGAGAAGTTCAGTTCTACGGCAAGTCCGTAAGTCATGCTCCGGACGTACTAGCCGCTTTAGGCAATCGTTCTTCAGCTATCAGATACGTACATCTTGTAAAGATAAACTAACGATGTGCAGAAACTGGTAATCATGCCGCTTGATGGTGACGATGAAGCTGGAGTTTTCACCATCATGTTACCACAGAAGCATGATAGAAGTCTGCATGGCCTTCAATCCTACCGGCCTTATGAGATCATTGAAAGTGATAATGGGCAAGCTTTTTCCAACGACTACGAAGTGCTCACGATCCGCAATCTTGACAGTAGTGCTGATGTACTAACTATAACTCTCGACGCACTACCAATGCTAGAGCGTACTAAGACCGCCGTGGAGGTGAACAAGCGGTCAGTGTCGGATTCAAATTACATCTATGATACTTCAGCCTTTTCCGCATCGAGTATGACAGGCACTTCGACGCCAAAAACGCGAACGCTAGAAGAGGGAGAAATCAGAGAAGACGATATGCAAGAAGATGAGTCAATCAAAACAAAGCGACATAGAAGTAGCACAACGACCTCACGCAGGTCCCATACCACAGAGGAGGAGAAACTTAGTGACTATGATAGCCCTGCATATCCAGGTACCGGAGGTTTCGTAGAGACGTCCCTTGATTCTGCTGCCCAGAACTCAGTAACAACCACCTCGAACCTACAACCGCGAGTCACGAAACGCCATTTATCCCCCGAGACAGTATATCCGGAGCTCACCAAGGAACAAGCTGACCGCACATACATAATTTGGTTCGTCAAAGACCGAGGTCTAGAATATGAATTCGTCCACACGATTGGTGAATGCAAAACCTTCGCAGGCCTACTCCAACTGCTGGAAGAAGATACAGAGTCCATCCCGTCGATTGCTGAGATTCTAAAGGAAAAAAAGACGTGGCGCTTGTGCTGCAGCCTTGACAGTCATGGTGGCATGAACAAGGCGCTGATTGCTCGTGAAGGAAAAGAGGCTGCATTTGACCGACTGCAAACTATACTGGCAGAAGCCCCTCTCTGGAGCACGAATCCGCATGGTCGAGTTTATGTCGAACTCAGGTCTTTGAGCTGATCAGGCTCTTCTGATGCTGTCTGCAACGGAGTCGTTATCGAACGGAGATCATTCTGGGAATGTGTACTTTTTTTTGTTGCGTTTGTGCGTCGCATCACATATACCCAATGCTTATCTTTTGATCGGTTCTCAACAAAACAAGCGGGAACCCAGTTCCCAAATGGTGGGAGGACAACAGCGTACTGTAGGTGTGGATGCATATTGGTGCTTATATGTACAGAGTTTCACACGAAACGGTTCATTGTTGCTCGGGCATCTGTCTCGGTTGTTGAGGATGTAAGTAAGTCCAAGGTTTTCTTGAGAATCCTACAATGGGATATCCCCACGTTGTACGCGCATTGTACAACACCATCGGTGGAACAACAGACTCCGGAGAATCTCAAGATAGCCATACGGACCGTCCATGCAGCTTTGCAGCAGCGAAACAGGACTGAATCGTATCTTGGCGGTCGAATAATAATCTGCACAACATTGTGTAAGCCTTTGGATGATCGTCGTGCTAACGCGAAGTTGTTGGCCAATGAGCAAGAACTGCCTGTCTCTTCCGCCTACCCTTCGCGGCCTGGCGCGGCTGACCCTGTAAACGAGCTTTCCGTACGCGGCGCTACGGTTTCTTCATCTGTACTTTTGCCATCAATCGCATCTCCCTACCATCTTCCCCTTGTCGCTCGCTTGCCTTGCGTTCTTCTCTAGTTGCTGTCATATATCCATTGAGCGGGCCTGTTGCTAGTATCTACAGTTTGCCGTTACCGTCCTGAGCGCATCTGCATGTAATCATACCGAAGGAAAACCAGCACTTGGATTCGCGCTTCTTTACCAAATTTCCTGACGACTTTTGACATCTCATGCAACCGTCGCAAACATGGACAGCTCGGCAATCACTTATGCGACCTCGAAAGACTGGCTCGATATCATGAAAAATCGGTCCAAAGTTCGCATGCATGAGCTTATTGAGCGCCTTGGATTACGCGCAAAGTGGTCTTCCAATAAGCGCGGCAAAACCAATTTTGAATCGGCCCTGGTGCGCGAACTCGTGGCAGATATGGGAGACGTTGTGTCTACGCTTCCAAAGGAGCCCGATGAGCTGATGAAGTTCCTCAGCGACGAGGGAAGTTTAAAAGAGGAGGTTGACGGTCTACTTGAAAAGCACGGGATGAAGGTTTGGGGGGGAGTGGAAGAGCGCGATCATCTGCTCACTGCCAACGAGCCTGGCGTGGAAGAAGGGCTTTATTCCAAGGATCTCTATTTTGAGAATGAAGAGGATAGGCAATTGTAAGCAGGCTGGCTGTGCAGACCGAAGACTCGGATAGTCACGAACGATTGCTGATGGATCGCCTAGAATTCACAAGCTCCTCCACTGGTGGATTGGACTGAAAGCGTGCAATGTCATCCTTGCACGAGAGCGGCTCGATCGGGAAAGGAGGAAAAAGGCAGAGAACCGACAAGCGCGAGCTGAGGCTGAGTTCTCTGGTCAGCAAGACGGCGGAACACCAGCATCTTTTGTTGCGCTGGCACCCAACTCAGTCCTGCACGATGGTGATACAGTATCACGTGGCAGTCCGATTTCCTCTAGTGCAATGCTCACACCCCCAGAATCGGGTGAAAGTCCAATTATGGGACCCCGCGAAGCAGGTAAGTTTGCATCCGTCAACGGCCGTGAGTGTGTACCTAACGGCTATGCCACTTGTGCAGCCGCGAACGCATATCAGGCGCAAACCTTGCAACAGCGACAAAACATTGTTGAAGGTGTCTGGAACCGACTAGCTGTAGACGGTAACAGACCGAGAGATCTTAGTACTACGTCGGCAGGCCCTGCTCACGGCCATGGCACGCACCCCGCAGAAAGCAAAGGGGCCGTGGACCAGCAGGTCGCAAACGCAAACCAAGCAGCGGTCGATCGGCAAATCAGCGTCGAAGTTGCGAAGCTGGTAGCAACCTTCCGCTCGGACGATGCAGGAGCAGAGGAGATACCCCAGCCAAACAACAGTATACCCTACCGCGGGCTAGATTACGACGGGTTGCGGGCGCTACGACAATACGTCTATGGGGAAGAGCATGGAGTTGCGGTAGACGAGGAAGTACTACTCAATCAACTGGAAAAGACATGGCGAGAGCGAGTTCGTGCTGATTATCAGAAAATGGTTGAGAACATTCCGGTATTCATTGCGAGAGAAAGGGCGTTTTTGACATGGGTGGAACTCAAGCGGCATTTGGCAGCTCTGCAACGTGCAAACGAACGTAAGTTGACGATCTCTAGCCCTATCCGCACGTGGGCCCGCACTGACAAAGGCTGTAAATGTACAGGGTGGTCAGCAGAAGGCCATACCACGGCGGAAATCGAACGACGCATCCAACAACACCGCACTCTGATGGGCTGTACACAAACGATTATTGCAAACTTTGAGGATGTAGGCCAAGGCTTCGGACTCAGTCCTAATGTTGCAGTGGATCGAGACGAGCTACTGCGACAAGCCCTGGTCGTGCTAGCAGGAGAGAAGTATGCGGTAGAGATGCAGTGGAAGCCTATAGAGTTTACAGCGACAATGGCTTGGCTGCACGAACACCTGGAGAATTTCCGACGGGAAGAAGAGGAAGACGGCAAGGGTATGCTGTGGCATGCCGGATAATAGGCGTCGGAAGTTGTCACATTGCGTCTCTGTTTGTCACGCATATAATATAGTACAGTGGGCTTGGAGTATAGTGGTAAACTCTGTACGCCGTGTGGATCTTACAGGCGTTCAGCAGCAGGCAAGGGATCGATCGATCGGCCAGACTTAAAAGGCGCACTAGGCGACCCAATTCGGGAAAATTGTCTATTGGGGTAGGTCAGCCGCAGGGGTTGGTTTCAGCTACTTCATCTTGTTACAGGATCGTGTAGGATTAGACTAGACCAGGTGTGCCACTTGCACGCACACACATGCACACACACAGACACAGACGTTGTAGTAGACACGCAGCCCCATGCCCACCCGCTGTCGATTACGTTTTTTGGGCCCGTCAGCCTACATGAGTGCAACGTGCAGGCGGCAGTCACGCGACGAATAGGCATAAATTTAAAATAAAGAAAAAAAAAAACGGCCGTCTCACGTACTGCCAAGGATAAGCGCAGGTATGCAGCGATCAATAGTTCGGCAACCAGTATCCGGGCATATAATGGGTGACGGCTCGGCAGCACTTCGCAGTACACTCTCGCTTAATGTAACCTGCGGGCAAGGGGCGTGGGGCTTTGGCTTTTTGGGCAGCGCGCCGTAAATCTTGCCTAAGTAATGCCAGGTTCCTATTTTAGGGACGCCATGACGGACGAGCGTCGCGCATATCTTCCATGTGGCCTAAGTAAGTAATGTATGCCTACTCATGGGCACTGGCCCCCCCTTCGTGTAGATAGATTTACGACAGGGAGGGCGCCACACAATCGGGGGGTCGCGTCATGTCATGCCATGCGATAACGGGTTTCTTTCCCTCGTGGCTGGTGTGTGTATGTGTGTGTGCATGCTGAGTTGAGTTGAGTGGTGCTGCCATTTTAGGAAGAGACAGGGTCGGATAGCGGATAGGGGGCGGGGCAAGAGAGAGAGAGAGAGAGAGAGAGAGAGAGATAGGTAGAAAGTGGGAAAGCGGGCGGTGCTGATCAAAAACAGATACAATAAGTGGGCGACAAAGACGGCAGAGTACGAGTTGTATGGGCAGACAGGCTGAAAAAAGCGAGGGAGTCGAGGGGACGAGCGCGTCATAGATGCAAGGTGTAATTTGTAACTCCTGACCACGACGCCAATAAGGACCATGTCGAGCTATGCGCAAAGCGTCGTAGTGCCGCCTGTTCGCTGATAGCACATGGCGGCTAGTGCTTGGTTTGAGTAAAGAGGGTCGGTCGGGTATTTTGGCCTAGGCGAGTAAGAGATTTTTTTTTGCTGGCTAGCGACCAATGCGCGCGCGTTGGTTACGGGCCGGTGTAATTGGGGGTTGGTGTATTGGATTGGGTACACGGCAATGGGGGGAGGGGGACGAGTGAGTAATAGGTACAGATGATTAGCATAAGGCAGCGAGTGACGATGAAGCCCATAGTGCAAGCGTCGTACTATTGCTATGAACGAGCAAGGGCGGGCGGGCCTTGGTTCGCCTGGACGAATGAGGGCCGGGCGGTACTATCATTTACACCTGATGGGGAATTATTGGCATGCGAGTCATTAACGGACGCGTATTAACCTATGCACATGTTTTTTGATGCCGCCCCTGCCACCTTATGGTCTCGCTACTGGACACGCTCCTCTTTTCTGCCTATCTTTTCGACGCTGCATACCCTCTGTCGCTTTTCTTACACGTCACCCGCCATCAATCATCATCAATCATCCATCATCGTCGTCATCCTGTCATCCTGTCACCCCATCCACTAATACACACACTGCCCTACCCACCCCAGCAAGTCACTCCGCTTAGTTGCTCATCACCCTGGCGCCAGCATCTACAGGGGTCTGGGCCTATCTTCTTTGTTTGCTGAGGTAGCACGATCGGCATCCGACGCTGAACAAAGTTTTTTTGGAAGAGGCAACTGGCAATAAAAAAAACTTTGTTCCAAGACGGCCTAGTGGAACGTACTCCTTTTACCATTGCCCGGCACATCACACCCCCCATCTCATCCCACCCCAGTCCATTTCCCATCATCACACACGTTCCGCTGAGTGCTCGTGCGCCCCCATCCACTGTCATCTCCAACCGTCTACGTTTCCATCATTGTTTTCCTACACCCTCTCTCTCTCGCTCTCAATTGTCTAACCGCTCGCCCCCCGGCTACTACCAACCACTACTACCACCACCATTACCATCGCCCATGCAGCGGCCATGAGTTCAAAGGACAACCTAGCCCTCGATCTCGAGCACGGCGTGCGACGATGGGACCGCGCTCGATGGATCTCCGTCTTCAGCTCGCATAACCCGACTATCCGCGAGGTGACGGAATGCCTAGGCCTCGGCTTGTCCGCATCCTCGTCCACGACCAACCGCGGCATCCCCAAATTCGACAATCCCGACTATCGCAAGCTGTCGAGCGAAGTCACCAAGCTGTCCAAAGAATTGCCAAAGGAGCGAGATGCGCTGCTCGATTTTGCCGCGGATCCGCATTCGCTCGACCAGGAGCTCGAGGACTTGCTAGCGAGTTACGGACCCGCTATTTGGGGCAGGGATGCGGATCGCAGCTGCTTGCTGACTCCGGATCCAACGAAGAAAACGTACAACAAAGATTTGTTTTACGAAGAGTCCGAGCACAAGGACATGTAAGTTTTGTCCATGCACTTTTTGTGTTTTGTGTTTTATGTGGGTGGTGCAGGGGGTGTGGGTACTTGTGGGTGGGCGCGCGCTAAGCTTTTTGCAGTCTTAAGATACACCTGCACCGATGGATAATCATCAAGGCCTGCTACTACATTCGCAACATGAAGCTCAAACGACCGTCTGGCGCAAACGAATATGACCAGATTGCTGACATTGATGGCGAGGGCCTGGTAAGTTGCGCTCACTTATCATAATAGTGACATTTCCCATCTCATCTCATCCGATTATTAATTAAAATATGCAGTCGCCGCATAGCACACCGCAGTCGCTTACACCGCCCGACATGGATTCTGTTGCCGGTGCCGACCTTGACGTCAAGCCAGTCAATCTGAAGAAGCGTAAAAGCAATACTCACCTGACCAACTCTGACGATGATGAAATGGACACGACACCTGTCAAGCGGCCCTACAGCACCATGCCCATCAGCCGAAAGGGCAGTCCCAGGAAATCGCTCAAATCGCTCTATCCTGCCGTGTCGGGCAGTATGGAAAACATGCCACCCATGCCAATCCACGCCCATCGTTTCTCCCCAGCACCAGGAAACGGCCCTGAAGCCGGCAGGATGCAACTTGCTCCTTTGACGAACAACGATATCAACGGCGTACCGAGGCCGTTTTCTGTTTCACAAAGCCCGACACCCGGCAGCTTCACCGCCGTCAACACTGGAAGCTTCACTGCAGTGAACAACAACCCATTGGCCGTCAAGGAGCCTCTGAGGGATCCCGTACGTGAAGCCGCACGGGAATCTTCCAAGGAAATACAGCGGCCCTCTCCTGTAGGCGGACATCGTCACAGCAATAGCTACACCAGCCCTTATGAGCCATCGCCGCATACTTCAGCTCCCCCTCGGCCTGCCACGGATCCTCCACGCTCCGTGATGCCTGTGAGTTCCACGTCTGCTCCTAGCAACCATGTGCTTCAGCCGGCGAATACATCTGCACCTACAAATGGAGCAAGCGGACTTCTGAAGAAGGACTCCCCTGTCGTTCCGCATGCCCACCATGCTTACATTGCTCCACAGCCACAATCGCAATCACAGAGCCCGCAGCAGCAACATACACCACAACCCGTTCAACCGCAGCACACCCAGCATGCGCCACTTCCTTCTCATCCACATATTCAAAACCAACAACAATCGACACCTCGACCATCAAGTCCACCTAATACTTCAACACTTCACTTTGGACGTTCTCTTGTACCCCACCCCCGAAGTAGATCCAGTACACCCCTCGCGCAGGCCGCACCTAATAAGCCACTTACGACATCTAATCCACAACCAACGTCTACGCCCCTTTCGCAAGGTGCAGCCGCTTATGGAATACAGTTGGTCCCAATACAGGAACCGCCACCACACGCCCCAGCCCTAGTCAGCCATCGAGCACCTCCTAGTCATGCTCACTCAACTCCAACTCATCACACTTCGCATCAAAGCGTACTGAAAAGCCAGCATTCGGAACCCGCACATGTTACACAACCCGCCCCAGCACTTCCCCGGCAAACGGTCCCGACAGCCGATCTCCGCCTTCTGCAATGCGAGGTAACGGCCGGCCTGTTTACATTCTTCTTCCCACGTCCTACAATGCCTCCGGATGAAGCTGCGCTACTTCAACGTCTGCATGCGCTATGGTTTCATGGCGAGTCACTGTTTCGCAATGAGCTCTCAACCCACTACGACTTGGTCTCGAAGATCTTGACCGCCTGGCTCCATGAACGACAAGCCATTGCTGCATTGCGCCACTCAATGGCTTCAAACCCAGGTGTCTCGCATGTGGGTCTCGTAGACCGCTTATTGGCGATGAACGACCTCCGAGCAATGCGACTCAAGTGGAAGAACATGAGCCCAATTGACGGCATGAGCCCCGAAGACCTGCTATGCATGGCTTTCAAAGTCATGACCAACACGGAGGGAAGCGAGTACCTATTCAAGGACGGGCTTGCAAGACTCGAGCTGAGCGTCTTTGAGTTCCTCCGCAGCGAAGACAGCAAGATTGTCATGCAGAGGCGGGATACGAGAGCTGCTTGAAACAGCACCGACAGCAATGGCCCGTGGGTGGCCTGTCTCAACGACGCTTTTCCTTTTGTTTTCTTTTTTGCATCTCTCTATCCGTGTTCTGTACGTACTAATGCACTATAGTAGCGTGGGTGGCTTGTGCTGGGATGCCCATCTTGGCACTTCGTATCTTTTCCTTAGCGACGGCGTTATCTCGACAAACTCTCTTTTTCTGTCATCTCATTTCATTTTCTTTTGGGCTGGAAAAAGCTTGTTACTTTGCATTTTGTTTTTCTCATCTTTTTCTTCTCGCGCGGCATGTTTTACTAGATCGGAAATATGAGCTTTGTAATAGGCGGGAGTGTAGGGACCGCAGGAATAAGTGGGAGGTTAGTGTGTAGGTATGTAATGGGCTGCCTTGGCGTGGCACGGTTGATGTGTGTATCTAGGGTATCAGGGAGCAGGTGTGTTTTACGGGCGTAAAGAGGGTGCCGGAGTTGGCACCGGTAACATGTGGCATATTACTCTAGAAGTAGGGCTTGTATAGCGTGCGTACAAATGGTCTAGCCCCCCTGGTAATACATGTCTTTTACTATAACAGACCAGCGTCCCCCCCTCCCCAGTAACGGCTAGTAAGAGGCAACATGGCGTAAGGGTGTGTAAAGTGGGTGTCTAGAACGAGCTGCAGTTCGTCGCCTGATCACCTAGACGACGTCACGTGCGCTCGCTGAACCCTGCATAGTTCGCATACTACGCAACCACTAGTCCTGACGCGCCGGCTGCTCTCAATCTCAACAACGCCCCCTTCAAGCCCTTGGCCGAAAACGGTACTGATGCACAGCCTCCGCTGCGGGCGCGCCTTTCCCCGTGGCCGTCCGTAGTGGCTGCTATGTGCGACCGGGTTTCAGATACAGCCTCATGACTTGGGACCGCCTCGCCCACTCACCGGCAAAGCCCATGCACCCTCGCCCGTACTGAATGGGCCCCGTGGGTTCCTCACGCGCGCCTCCCCGCCCCTGCACACCCTTCTTTTCTTTTTTGATCAAAGGGCCTGTTGCTATCACGGCATATGAGTCCCACGATGCACCACTACCATCACTGGTAGCCGTTTGGTGTAGTCAAAGCGTATTCTGCTCTCTAACACTTACCCCCACTCGTCCTTTAGTCAAGCATGGTGCTGCGACTATTTGTCCCGCCCGGTAAGCCAAGAGCAAACGAGAAAGAGAGAGACAGTTGTGGAGAATGCCCATGGAACTTTTGTCACTGATGAGAAACATGTACACACTACAGGGGAAGGCCAACACGGGCTTGTTCCAAAACGACCACAAGGCATTGGCGCAAACGCAACGCCCCAGACTTGTCTTGTTTCTTCGACGCTGCTGGCCGCAGTGTATACATCGTTCGCCTCGACATTCAACCAGCGAGTAGTCGGAGTAGCGCCTCAACAAGCAGCACACACATCTAGGCCCGCCCTGTTTGTACGGTCGTCGGCCAGACTGGGCCTCTGCGTCGGACTAGCTGGAGCCGCGGTAAACTGGTACTACTACTCGGCTTTTGCAAATGTGGTTGTTGCCGACAAGGTGCAAGAGGCTAGCAGGTGGAGACTGTATCAGTGGACCAAGGGGTACACGGTCGACGATGGTGCTTTGGCCGGTGCCGCTATCGGGCTATCGGCCTCGATACCTATGCTCCTGATGCGCCGCCCTGCTATACCGCGCTGGACGCGGTGCCTGGGCATGGCGAATATCGGCGGCTGTACGGGTGTGGTGGCGTCTCATGGGTACCTTCAGTATACGGGAGAGCGGCAAAAGGCGTACAGACTTCTTGAAGCACGACGGAAGCGCAGGTCGCTCGAGTTTTGGGCCATCTTCTGGGACAAGGAACTCATGGCTAAACTGAGTCCGATAATGCAGCAGTACGTGCGGCACAATGGCGTCTGGTATACCCAGCTCTTGCCGGATAATGCCTTTGAACAAACAGATGATGTCGACAGTGTTGATAGTACTGTCCAAACAACACAGCAAGTCGTAAACGTAGAACCACAACAACAACAACAACAACCTGTAGAGCAAACCCCAGACCCCCCTTTTTACCTCGAACCCGTCGATTACACAGCCGACCTCGCCCAAATCAACGTCGAAGCCACTCTCCTCCGAATCCAAGAAATGCAAGTAGAACGCCAGATTCTCCTAGAAGAAGCTCACTACCTCCTCTCCCTCAACGCCCACCAACGCTACGAATACTGTCACTTGCACACCACCCTAGATGCAGACGACCGCTTACGACGCCTCCAGGAAATTCATCTCGTAGATGTAGCTCACACGCGCCTGCGCAACGCGGCTGATGCGCTGGATATGAAAATCATACACTGGCGCATGTCGCTCCAGCACAAAGCCGCTTGGGAGAAAAATACCTCTCCCTCCTCTTCATCCCCATCTTGGTCTTCTTCTTCTTCGTCTTCATATTCATCCGAGGCTGAAGCAGATGACTGGCTCCCCCCAAACTCCCACCTAATCAACTACGCCACGCACAGACCCAGTTTCTCAGTCTTGGAAATCGAAAAAATGGCACGCCAGATTGATGCGCAGGTGCAGCGGTTTGAACAAGGAAGCGTAGATCACAGGTTTCCCCGGGAGAAGCGCGAGAGGTGGCGCAAGGATGCAGAGGATGGAAGGGTCTTGTTGCGGGCGGCGGATCATATCTTGTTTCGCATGGAGAAGGCAAGCAGGAGGGGTCTTGATGATAATGGTGAGGGGGGTTTGTTGCAGAGTGGACGGGGGGATGTCATGGCGGCACAGGATGATGCTACTTCAGTCGAGGAACTTCATCCTGCGAATGATCCTCCCTCTTCGACCGACGATGGCTCAGCTGCAGACGAAATGCGCCTGAGAAAAGACGTGGAACAGTCTCGAGCGGATGCCCAAAAAGCAGCAAAGCCGCGACGAGATGGTCTGGAGCACAACAACCCATAAGCTCAATCTGCAAAGGACCCAAATTGGCTCTGGTTATATTTTCTACCGTCTGTCAAAACATACACATCTACTTCCCCTGGATACCATATCACGGATGGAACCTAATGGGACTGCTATCAATTGTAATTATAATTGTAACCTTTTTCATTATCAAGCTATACTAAGCTACTTAAGACGCCATCATTCCCAATCTTAAAAGAACACGAAAACCATAGACCCCCCATAGCCTGCCATGAGGTCGAAGAGGGGATATCGTCATGATGCTAATGTTACAAGGCTTTATTGCCTACTCCGTTCCGTTCTTCTTCCATCCGTACGTAGATCGTAAGGTCGTGAAATAGTACGTAAGGCAGTCGTATCATGATAGTGATACGCCTGAACGCTGCTTGTCGGTTGCGTTGCTAGTAGTGAGTTTCTTACAACTCGTTCTTGGCAGAAGAAGCGCTGGCGGCGGCCTCGTAGGATGCGCTCTTCGCGGACTTGGAGGCAGCAGAGGAAGCGCTAGCAGCGGACTTGGAGAGCGAGGAAGAGGATGAAGAGGCGGCCTTGGCGGCAGCACCGCTGAGGGAGCTGGCGCTGGCTCCAGCAGCATTGGTAGCGGAAGCAGCACTGGCGGCAGCGGCGTCGGTAGCAGAGGCAGCGCTAGCTGCGGCAAGACCAAATTGCTGCTTAACCAAGTTGGTGTAGTAGGCAAAGCCGTCAGTGGCAGAGGCGTACTCGTTGTTGGCCTTGGAGGTAGCAGCGCCGTAAGCGGAAGCACCAGAGGCAGAAAGAGACTCAGCAGTGGCAGAAGCACTGTCGCCATAGAGGCGGGCACGGTGCTTGCGAGCGAGAGCAAGGAGTTCGTTGCGCTTGGAGCCCTGAGGAACCTTGATACCGTTCTTGTCAGCCCACTCCTTGATCTGGCTGTCGGACCAGGAGTCGAGCAGAGCGTCACTGAGGCTCTGCTGAGCCGCGGCAGCAGCAGAAGTGACAGAGGCGTAGGCATCCTGGGACTGCAGGCTAGCAAGGCGAGACTGACGGCGAAGGGCAGCAATCATGGAGTCGCGGGTGTTGGGCTGGGGAACAGAGTAGCCACGCTCGTCAAACCAGGCCTTGAGATCAGAGTCAGACCATGAAGCGTAGAGCCAGTCGCCAGGGTAGTTTGCGGTCTCCTTGGCCTTTTCAGCGGCGGACTGGTAGTTGTCACGGACGGCAGCGAGAAGGGAGTCACGCTGGCGGGGCTGGGGGACGGGGATGCCATGCTTGTCGGCGAAAGCCTTGAGCTGAGAATCGGACCAGCTGTGAAGTGTTAGCAATGATAATGAGTGAACAGTAAAGATTACATACGTGTCAAAGATCCAGTCCTTAACATTGCCGTAGGCCTGGTTTGCAGAGTCCTCAGTCTCAGTCCAGTATAGCTTGACCTGCTCGACGAGGCTCTTTGCGTCCTTCTCGGTGCCCTTCTTGGCCTGCTGGCCCTTGAGGCTCAGGTACTTCTGGAGCGTAGGAGCGTCCCAGCTGGTGTAGGGAGAAACAGTCTTGTCGTTCCAGTTGGCCTTGACGGTCGATTGGAGGCTCTTGCGGTCAGAAGGGCTGGGGTGGGGAATGCCGTGGTCACTGAGCCAGCGCTCAAGCTCCGTCTCATGCCATTTGTCGTAGACTGCTCACTCACGTCAGTGTACTGCTAGAGAGGGTGTTTGTAGAAAAAGATAAAAGCAAATGGGCTCTGTACTGTACGCACCAGTGCTTCCAAACCAGCTGTTGGCTGATGCCGACGCAGCAAGCGTCACGACGAGAGTGGATGCAAAAGAGAACCTCATCTTGTCGGGAGGGAGATGTGATGGCTATGCTAGTATCGTGTGATGGAGCAGAGATGAGGGAGGTCGGATATCAAGCAAAGGGCAAGTAAATAGTGTAAGAGGGGATGGTGAAAGGGCAGTTTATGAGGGGAGGCACAGACAATGGGCGGCCACAAGGCGTGCGTGCGAGTGACGTAGGACTTCACATTGGGAGCTCGAACAAACAAGATCTCCAATGCGCCTGCCTCCGCTCTGTTGCATGTGCGGCCAATGAGAAGGCGCGACCAGCAGCCGCCTGGTATGTGTACGCAATTGTGAGAGCGCAATTGTGACGCCGTCTGGGCCCTGCGAGCATGTGCAAGCTGCCATCCACACGCCTCCGAGGCATCCTGCGTGTTTTTTTTATCCTTGCGCTTCTTACTGCTCAGGGCTGCAATTCTGACGTCTCTCACCCTAGCCTGGGGCTGGAACGGAGGTTGTGGGTCGCCATGGCATTTGGAAATTTCCCATCGCGATGGTTGCGGGGCTGATGTCGTGAGCGCGTTCAGCCCTTGACGTCATCACCCAAACATGCACAAAACTTATGAAGCACAATGATGCTGGCAAGCCTCAAAAGACAAAGGTTGAGCGTCCACGCTTGGGGAAAAAAATGCGCAATTGCACCATTTAATTGTGTGTCACGTAGAATTGTTGACCATTCGACTCGTAGCTAATCATACATCTCACCCATCACTCAGCTCGTGTTTACCCCCGGACGCCCTCAGAATCGCCGCGTCCACCTTCACCTGTATAGTTGTTAGTAATGAATTCAATACAATGAGAGATGGGGAACGTGCCTTTCCAGAAGCTAACAGGCACCTTGTCCTTTTCAGCCTCCTCGTTGCTGACCCGCTCATGCGCCTGCTCCGCCCGGTTACCCATGTCCTCGTTGTGCTTCCTGACCTCCTCGCTCTCATTTCCAGCCGCAGGAGGGTTTTCGTTTAGTATCTTGGGTTTCGCACCTTTGACTTCGCTGGCGTCGGGCTCGTTTTGCTGACCCTGCTTAACGGCTGGCTCCTTGCTGTCCTGCATCCGGCGTGACCATGTCGAGAACTGGCGCTGGCCTGAAGATCCCTTGTTCGAGGATGGAGCTGGAGACTGTGAGGTAGGCTGGGGAGAGTCGTTTTGGCCCGCGTTGCTGTCCTTGTTTGGCGACGACGAAGACTTGCCTTTGGCAACACTTGGAGGCTCGGGACCAGGATGCTCAAGGTTCTCGCTGGGATTCTCGCCCTGCTTCTGAGGTGCTTCTCCAACTGGGTTTCCTTGGCCAGAGCCGTAGTCTTGAGTTGCAAAGCGGACCTGTACGCGAGCTCGAGGAGCCGCCGAGAGCGTTGCAGGACGCAGTGCCGCTGAGCGCAGCATTGACATGGGGCGGAAGTAACTCATGATTGTGGTGTTTGTGAAACTGAAATTGACAATGAATTTGTGTGTATGTGGTGGGAAAGGTGACTGTGAGGTTCGTAGAGGTCTGGAATGATACTCGTCCTAGCTCTCCTTTTGACGTCATGGTTTTCTAAGATCCGCATTCCTGCGTACATGCAGCACGTCACATCAATGCACCTTCGCAAAGATGCATTGGTAATTGCTTTTGGTCTATAGGATTCAGCCAAACATAATCGAGAGACGTACTGTTCTTGTGCACTCACCTTACTGGGTTATGCACCCTTCTCTATAACTTCCCACCACTGAACATACACATCGCCAAGTACGGACCAATGGCAGAAAACGAGCCTCCGGAAGAATAATTTCATATTCCAACAGTTGTCAATATCCTCCTACCATTCAAATACATTATTACTAATTTATCTCATACCATTTACACTTAACTCCATCCATACAAACCCCTTGTACACCATCTTACACCAAGCATCTCTAATCTACCCACCCACCCTCCTTCCTACTAGAATCAACCCTCCAAACAAACCCAAAACCCAGCACCACTAGACCACAAACCCCAATTAACTCCCCCCTATCCCTCCCTCTTAACCCCCCACGTCCCCCCACCCTCCCACTCCCTCCCAAAAACCCCCCTAATCCACTTCTCCCTGCGCCTCCAAACCTGCCACCCCTCCCTCTCCCACCGCTCAGTCGGCGTCTCGGACCACGTCCTCATCTCCTCGGCCTGGCGCTCCCATCCCTCCACTTCCTCATCCGTTACATTCCGCCCTTTACGATATATATCCTTGAGGATGTTGTAGTAGGCGGCGAAGTCGGATTGTATGGCGGAGAAGTTGGAGGAAGGCGTGTCGGAGGTGATGAAACCTAAGGTGGAGGGGGGGCGGAGGAGGGGGCAGGTGGGTCCGCAGGTGCCGGGGGTAGGGGTGGTGGTGGTATTGGTGAAAGTGGAGGAAGGGGAGGGGGAAAGGGAACAGGTCAAGCAGTAAAAACTAGAGTTTTGAACGAGGTTTTCCAGGTGGAGGCGCGCGTTTAGGGAGGATTTAACAACGAGGAGGTTGTGGAAGAGGGTTTGGATTCGGTAGTACATTGCTCTGTCTGCGACTGGGTCTCGTGGCATTTTTCCGGGACTGTAGTGACCAAGATTGGTCGTGTTTGGACTTTGTTTTTTTTATAGAGAGAGAGGAAAAGGTGGGGAGTTGGAGTTGAGGAGATGGTAATAAAAGTAGTAATTACATGTGTATTGTGAAGATGCAGTGAGAAGAGACAGCGTGGTGAAAACAATGGTGTGGTTTTTTTTGTATACAGTGACTATGAAATGAGTGAGTGAAGGATATGGAAAACAAATACTATGCTAAGGATGAGGGGGGTCGTATGTTAGAAATAGATCTAAGAAGAATAGGGTTGGAAAGCAAGGTAAGACAAACGCCCATACAATCATAACTCCATCCCATTCATCAGTTCACCTTGATCGACATCTCAGACCCCTTGTCTTTTCCTGCCGACTGCTCTATTCCTTACCTTTCCACTCGCATACGTCGTCAGACTATTCGTCCATGTGCTCTACAAACCGTGAAGGGCGAATAACAGTCACCGGCATATTATCGGGCATCCTCGAAACTACCGCATAAGTCTCGATGAGCTCCACCCTACGAAGAACCGATGATTGGGAACCTTCTGAGACCTGGCTACGTGTATAGTCCCTAGTGGTTGCTAGGCCATTAAAGTCAGAGGACGGCTGGTTAGAAATCTGTTCAAAGCTAAGACGGCGTGCAGATGGCATATCTTCATCCCGACCGTCTACCGAAGCGCAATCTGAGTTTACAGTGGAAAAAGACGTCTTAGAAGCATGACTATCGTGCCTCTTCTTCATGCTAGGCCTTTTGATCGCGCCGCGACGGACTAAACCACCTGGATTGCCTCTGAGCACGCTCTCAATAGTGAGAAATTCCGGCTTGGCCAAGTTGCCTTTAATTTGAATGTCTTCCGGGCATGTGTCTGAATCCACTGGAGATTCCGCATTCACATAAAATTCCGACGCAGGAGTAACGGGGAGTCCGCACTGATTCTGCGCAAGCTGGCTGTTTTGGGTATCCATGTTGTATTTTCTGTTCGGTTTGTTGAAATATTCACAGTGCTTCTGTTCTTTGTATTTGCTTTGTTGTGGTCTTCATTTCGAATCAAAGGAGATTCCCTTTAATAGAGAATCCCCAAGACGTAACAACATGTATTGTGCGACAAATGTCATTGAACTCTGCACATTGTTTGTGCAAGCAAGACATTGTGAAGCCATGGAACTCCAGGAACTGTGTGGTAACTCCACTACTAGTGTGTAAATCCTGTCAGGTGCCATGTGTTTGGAAGGTCGGAGGAAAGACTGCGATTGAGACTGGGCGGCTGTCCAGATCCAAGCAGTGAGATTTCCGACTCTTTTCTTGTCCTCAGAGTGCTCACCTTAACCCTCTACCTCTTGTCTCCTCTTCATCTCCTTCTCTAATTCATCCACATTCATGGGAACCTTACTTCCTTCCCACTTTTTCTTTTCTTCCTGCGCAAAGCCCTCCAAACTCAGCATACCCACACACAAAAACCCCAGTACCTCTCTGTCTGTATCAAACACTTCCCACCACTCACACTCTGGCATCTTGATTCCTGTCTCTCTTGCAGCCAGGTAAATCGCTGCCGTAGCCAGCGCCGGTGGCTGGTGTGTCAAATACAGGCATTGTGGGCTAAGCAGAGCAGTGTTGAGGTGTGCGATTGCACGTTTGGCGAGTTCTGACGCGCGAGGATGCGCAAAGGCATCGAGAGCTTGCAGGTATGTTATGCAGAGTGTGTAGGGGAGCTGGACCTGTACATTGAAGCCCAGGGTGCGCAAGATGCGTTGTTCGGTGGTGAAGAGGGTTGCGCGACGGCGCTCGTACGTGCCTTCTGTGACAAAATACTCCAATGGATCCTGTTTCTGGTTGAGTTGGTCCATATCGAAGAAGGTTGTGGGAAGCGAGTCGAGGTATGCGTATACATTAACCAGACTCCGTGGTGATTTGGGGTATGCAGACAGCTTGGTGGTCAGGTAAAGAGAAGCTGCTGAGACTTGCTCTGCGCCAAACTCTGCGAGACTTCCACCTTCTGGCCCAAGCCAGAATCGCATAAACACCACAATAGCTTGCGCAATGACTTCTTGCGGTAGCCTCAATAGTATTCCCGCGGCTTGTGTAAGCCTTGCGCCGGCGAAGCGTATCGAGTCTTCGAGATCGGGTGGGATGCCGTCGATTTGTGAGCCGGAGGTCTCGAGCTGGGCTACAGTAGCCAATGGGTTCGCAAGAGGTGAGGGTTGCATTGTGTAAGAGCTGGCGTAAGCTTCTTTCCCTCGTGGTAAGCTGTCGCAGTTGGAGGTATTGGGTATGAAGCTATTGAGCTGTCGGACCTCCGGTGGGTGAGCTTCGGTGCACTAGGCTTTATCCTGTCTAGTCGCGGTGGTTCACCCCACACAACCTCGTATGGTGGAACAGCACATCAACATATTTGTAGGATGTAAGAAATCTCGCATGATCTCGCAGCTGACGGGAGATAGTGCGTTATGCGTGATAGATGACTCTACAAACTTTACGATCAACCAATAAAAAGCCGTCTCCTTAGCTCAATTGGGAGAGCGCCAGACTGAAGCCTTCGGTCATTAAATCTGGAGGTATCGTGTTCGATCCACGAAGGGGACAACGTGCTTGAGCTTGCTCAAGATTCTTCGAACCACTTTTTTTGTCATCCTGGCAGTCATATAGGGCTGACAGCCAAGACATTACTATCTTTTTGCTTATCGTCGGTTGCATATCGGTTGTTGGGCAGCAATGTCTAGTTCATTTTTTTCTAATTCGCGCATATGCTAGTCAGATCACGTCTTAATACACCGAATATGCTGGTGGATTGGAAGTAAAAGTCGAGAAGATAAAATTGAATATTCTTTTGGAGCAATCTCTAAAAAAAGTTCCAGTGAAACTACGTAGCTAATATGCATTATTAACGAAGACATAAGTGGGTATCTTGCCGGCTAAATGCGATCCAAAACCTCTACAACAATAATTGTACATGCAAAATCCCACCCGTGCGAAAATAAAAAAATATGACAAACCAGAAATCATAAATCCAAACGCCGTAAGTGTACAACCATTTTTCCCTTTAATCAATACCAATCATGGTGCCATCGCACCTCCAGTCGTCGACCTCGACATTTTCCGCGGCGGTGACGGTCGCCTCGGGGTCGATTTGAACATGGTTGAGCCATGTTCCTACGCGGTTTGCACCGACTTTCTTTCCATCTTTTGAGAGTCCAGCCATTACTGAAGAAGTGACAACGGCGGGGGGAGCAGAGCGTGAGGGGGTAGGTGCCGAGACGCGGCGGGTGCTAGAGAAAATCGAACTTCTAGGGGTCGATTGGCGGGGAGTAGATAGGCGAGCAGCGGTGCGGACAGCAGAGTTGGGCACGGAGCGGATAGCATAGGAATCGTTCATGTGGTGGCCGCCAGCGTTACCAACACCATAGATCTGGACCTCGGGTTCCGTGCGTCGTGCTGATGATACGGTCGGGGTAGGGAGATGAAGCGAGTTGCGAAGCTGTCCGGACAGAACTCGTTCGGCACGGTCGTAGTCGCGTTCTCGTTCGGGGCGCTCACGGGGGCGGATGCTTGGGCGGCGTCCTAGCGGTGGGGTGGCTTCCGCGATTTCAATAACCTCAACGTCGGGGTAACGGGGATTTGCGTATGGCACGCGCATATCATTCAGGCGATCATCATCCGGGATGTGTTGGTAGTTGAACCAAGGGCAGTTGCAGGTCTTCCATGGAGCAGCACAGACCATGCAGAATTGGGCAGTGCAGCGACTGTTGGATGGTTAGATGTTTGTTGTTGTTGTTGCAAAGAGGGTTGGATGCATTGAACTTACCAGGTCATGTGATTGCAACCTTCCTTGAGCTCCACTACAGCCTTGCAGCTGTAGCATCG